AGATAACAAGTTCCAGCCCACCCTGGACAAGTGAGACCTGGTCTCAAATTTTAAAAGGGCTGGGGATTTTGCTCAGTGTAAAGGCCCTGGGCTCCATCCTCAGTACCAGTCCCTTCTCCCCTGCCTTCCAGGACCGCAAGATCGGGCCCCTGTCTTCCCTCGGTCCTTGCCTGCTCCCTGTGCCCTCTCACCCTGACCCACTTTCTGGGTTCAGCCTCATAGCCTTTGGATGAGCCATTCACCCACCCAGGCGTCTCCCCGGGCCTAGCATGGCTGGCGCTTGAGTCTGCAGGTCCCATTTTCCCCATCTCCCCCACCCTGGACACTCCATGCCATCACTCGCTTATTGTGTTTGTTGTTTGACCACACATACCATCAGGAAGTGATCAACAAACAGGAGGTGACCTCATACTAGGAAGGACCTTGCCCCCACCCACCACCTCCGAAGAGGGGGGAGTGCAGGGTCAGCTGGGTGTGCACCTGGTGACTTCCCAGATTTCGAGTATGGCACCCACACATTAAGGTGGGTGTGAGTCACGCTTCAGTCTGTTCTGGCAGATGCTTCCTTCTCCTCACTGGGCTCAGCAGCATGCCAAACCCTCATCCGCGGGGTTGACCCTGTTCCTTTTGGCAGAGAAGGGAGCTGGGAAAAGTGAGCCTCCAGCCGAGTGGGAGTCCATGGTGGGGGTCATGCATTCATTCTTTCCTTTGGTTGTTCATTCATTCAACAAACACTTATGAAGCACCTATTCTGTACTGGGCACCACTTTAGGCATGGGGGCAGTGGTCTCCCTCCTGCCTCAACTGTTGCTCTGGCTGGGGAGACAGGGAAAGGATATGGGACAAGGTACACAGGTGCACCATGAGCCATGGGGGCCGGGGCCTTGTGGAAGGTGGTGGCCTTGAATGCCAGGAAAGGACCAGCCGCCCCAGGGACCAGAAACACAGCAGGCCTGGTGGGCAGGACTGGAACGCGGACCCGAGCTCAGAAGTGACAGGGAGGATGGAAGGAATGACAGAGATGCCAGCTGCCGAAATAGCTCAGTTGGGAGAGCGTTAGACTGAAGATCTAAAGGTCCCTGGTTCGATCCCGGGTTTCGGCAGACTGTTTTCCTGCCCCACATGGAGGGGGGAAGTAAACGAATCGTCTAAAGGGGTTTTCACTTTTTAAATTTAAATTTTTTTTTATTTGGAAGAATCCCCAAAGTGTGCCTGAAGTCACCTTCCTCGCCCGCCTATCTGAGCGAATCCAGGTCCAAGGTGCTCCTGGATTCCTTCCTGAAACCCTTACTCTGCCGTGTTTGTTGATTCCTGCTCCTGGTTCTGTTCATTGGACTCTGTGTTCGGAACTATCACGATGAGTCAGGGGCCAAGTGGGATGCGGGCACCTGAAATGTCAGTCAGATTGGACTTGGAGTTTAGCGCTGTAATTTTTTTAAGTTGGTTTTTATAGCTGCACCTTTGCAGGCTCACCGCGCACTTTGATTCCTCTTTCACCCCACCCCATCCTCGTTTTATGAGAAAAATTCAAAAGCGTTGTGTGGCACGTGTGGGTGTGCAGGGAAAGCACCCTGCTTGAAAGGAGCCGCTAGAGCACTGACTTCTAATGTTGGTCCTCGTTAGTATAGTGGTGAGTATCCCCGCTTGTCACGCGGGAGACCGGGGTTCGATTCCCCGATGGGGAGACTGCAGATTTTACTGCTGGCTGGACTTTTAAAGCAGCGGTTTATGCACCATGGCGTGGCGCCGGCTGCTGCCATTGCTCCAGCTCCTTCATCAAGTCTCCCTCCACCACACCTACGGTCCCCAGAAACGGTTCAGAACCCAGAGCTGGGAAGCGGCATCTTGAGTGTCCCTGACATCCTTCCCAGGCCCTGTCCTTTTGTTCATTTATTCATCTGTTCATTCTCCCCACATCCTCACATTGGCCCTATGTGTCTGAGCACATCTGGTCCCACGGCGGCTCCTCTGAGGATGACAGGGACACTGTGACAGCAACAGCTCAGGGCTTGAGACGCGGGCGGGAAGGCAGCCACCGCGACCCTCGAGGCGACAGGGGTGACACTGGAGCCCGAACCCTGCAGAGGGCAGAGGCAGATCCTGGGGACACGGGCGGGACCTCTTGGGGCGAGGTGGCCTGCATTTCCTTCCTCTGAGTTTGAGCCCAGATTCGTTCTCTTTGGGGTGTGTGGGTGTGAGTGTTGGGGACTGAGCCCAGCACCTTCACTACATCCCCATCCCTTTTTGTTGTTTTAGTTTTTATTTTTGAGTCGGGGCCTTGCCAAATCGCTGATTTGCCTTGGCTGGCCTGGAAGTTGGAACCCCCCTGTCTCAGGCTCCAGAACTCTGGGATCCTAAGTGTGTGCCCCCAACCGGGGGCGTGCTTCCCAAGGCCTAGATACCGATTTCAAGGGGCCAATACCCTCATGCAATGCAAACAAAGCTCTGCCTCTCTCTGGCTGCCGGTTCCTGCACCAGCAGCAGCCTTCCCTGCGCTGCTCTGCAGGCCCCGCCTACTTGGGAAACGTCAGTTTATTTTGCTTTGGCTAAGCCCCAGGGCCCCTTTAAATACATCCACAGAAACGTGACTTAGCCAGGAAAGCCCTTGTGGTGGAGTGCAGCATCACTCGCTAGGTCAGCAGCGTGAGGCGGGGATGTAGCTCAGTAGTAGAGCACAGGCTTTGCATGTATGAGACCCCGGGTTTGATCCCCGGCATCTCCACCTGCTTTTTATTTCTGCTGTCCCCTGGTTCTTCCTGAGTGCCAGGCTGGGGCTGTGCTCTCTGCTGTCACCCACATGACCCTCTCCAGATACACTGCATCCGCGTCCCTCCCCAGGCCCCTCAGCAGACACTTTGTATCCTCGGGTCTCCCTGCGCCTGCTGCTGGGGAGGGGACCTCCTGCTCTGCAGGGACAGTGCCTTGTCACCTGTCATCGCCCACCTCCCTCCCGTCACTGGACCTCATGGCTCTAATGATAAATGTGTCTCCTCTCAGTTCTGCAGGGACCTGGGTCTCCTCAAAGCTTTTATTTTTGAGACCAGGAAACTGAGTTTGTGAAATGACTCACTAGCTAGGAGGTGACACGTGGGTGACAGGGCGGCAGCTCCTGTCTCTAAGGCTCTGGGGCAAGGTTATTTCTCCCTAAATGTCAACATGGGTTTCAGGAAACAAAACAGAGGGTCATTGCTAAAGTGATCCAGCTCAACAGGAAACTGATTACAAGCTTCTGTTTTATACTGTATCTTATAATTAAATATTTCTAATAGTGAGGGACCAGAGAGAATGAAGGTGTTTTTGTTAAAGGCTTGTGTTGAGAAGGGAGCTTCCTAGAAAAGTTGTGAACCTGAAAAAAATATTTTTTTACTTATTAATTCTTTTCTTTTTTTACACTAGGAGAAAAAAGGCCTGGAGCACATAGCCTATAACCTCACCTTTAGGGAGGCTGAGGCAGGAGAATCACTGGGGCAGCCTGGGCTGCATAGTGAGCTCAAGGCCAGCTTGAACTACATAGCAAGAACCTGTCTCAAGAAACAAACAACAACGAAGAAAACAAAAATGAAAGGCCCATTATGGTGTCGCAGACCAGCTGCAGTCAATGCAGGGTAGGAAGGGGAGAGGTCCTGGGCCGGCGATGAGAAAAGAACCTTCACAAGCAATGTGCAGGTTCCCTCTGAGAAGTCTCAGGGTCTGATTTATTTTTATATCTTTAAGCAATAGCTAAGAGGCATTGGGTGGAATATGTTTACATTTTAGGTTGCCTTAGCAACATCTAGTGAGGTAAAGGTTATTTTTTGCTAAACAGAGTATATTTTTTCTAAGCTGATTCATTTCATTGAACATCATGAATACATTTTTTAAAATCACAATTGTCCCCTTATTTTCCCATACCTAAGCAGAATAGAATGTAACTTAATCAAAATCTCCAGAGGGTAACTTAATCAAAATCCCTATAGCAGCGGGGGTACAAGCAAGATTTAATTAATTAAATGTCAAACTTGTGGTCGTCAGCTGGCCCTTGAGAAACTGTACAATGGTTAATATAGTTTGCTTGCTATTAGCTCTCTATTTTTCTATACCTCTATTTATCTTACCTAAGTGTCGTTTAGGTTCATAGTCCATGAGCAGGAGATATTTGCAGCACTTTGAGAAATATTGAGTAACTTGCCTCCTTAATGCATTTACCTGTCTTAACTTTCTTTCTTTTTCCCATTTTCCACTATTTCTTTCATGGAAAGTCTGTCTTTCCAATCTCTTCATAAGACCCCTTTAGTAAAAAGAATGTCAGCAATAAGCGGGGGAGTTATAGTAGTGGGGAAACAGAGGGGGTTTTAGGAGAGGTTTCTTTAGGAGTGGATGTGGCAATAGAACTAAGAGAAACTGGAATTTGGGACTTTTGAGCCAGATCAGATTTCAATACATCATTGCCAATTTGCCTCGTGGAGAGTTTGTTGTTAGTCACAAACACAGTGACTCCTGTGACCAGAGTAACAATTATAAACATTATGGCAAGAAAAAATAAAACATGAGGGTGCGATGTGTTCCACCCTTTCTTTCCCCTAGCTGGAACTTTGTCAAGCAGCAATGGAGGTCGGTTGGGCTTTGTCATTATGGCAGGGAGCTGGAGGAGAATTCAGACAGAAAGCAAGCAGAAGAGTGAGTTATGGTCAGGGTCGGGGCTAGGACTGGGGAGGCGGTGGGGGGCTGTTTAACCGGGCCGTTTCAGTTCTGCAAGACACAAGTTTGGGAGGTGGATGGTGGTGACAGCTACACAACAATGGGAATGAATTCAACAGTACTGAAGCATACACTTAAAACTTAAAAATAGTTTTAGCTGGGTGGGGTGGCACACACCTGTGATCCCAGCACTCGGAGGCTGAGGCAGGAAGATGCTTTGAGTTCAAAGCCAGCCTGAACTACATAGCTAGACTGTGTCTCAAAGAAAAATACAATATAAATAATAAATTCAAAATAAATAAATACAATCACATAAAAAGAGCTGGAGATGTAGCTCAGTGGTAACGTTTATTTACTTAGGAATAACCTGGTACCACCCCCCCCAAAATCACTATTAGGTTGCAACTGGCCACAATTTAAGAACACAAAAAGTGCAGCTAGTTTGTGCCTCCCGAAGTTCCTGCCCAAGGCCGGAACTGCGCTGGCGTCTTCCAGGCGAAGGGTCACCGTGCTGGCGGAGGCCGCGCGTGGACAGGGACGAGACATCCGGGCCTTCGCTCCTCCCCCGCGCCGACGCCCTTGGTGACCTTGTACGGCCTCTTAACCCGTGACAGAGGACCCAGCCCTGCCCAGCTCTGACTTCACCCCTTCTCCTGGGGACCCCGCTCCCTAGCAGGGATCAGCCAGCTCGGGGAGGGGACTCGGGCCACAAGCAGGTGACCCTGGAGGAGGGCGGGCAGGGACCGCTCCCCCACCCCCCGCGCTGCCCTCGCCAACCCCGCCTGTCGCCAGGTCCCCGGGCCATCTGCAAAGGACGGAGCCTGGGACCAGGAACGGGTCGGGGCGGTGACTCAGGCGCTGGTCCAAGTTCTGCGCGGCTATCCCTGTCAAATTCCAGGTCAGGGTTCGGGTTTCAGGCTCGGACCTGACTCCCGCCTCTGGGGCCAAGTGGACCACGCAGACGGTGAGTCTCCTCTGTGACAATGACACGCCCAGAGTGACACTGTGACACGGGGGTCACGGAAGTCCTCGTGGTGGGGGTGTCCCCTGCAGAGTGTTTCCCAGCGCCCTCAGCCTCTGTCGCCTCTGTCCCTAGCACCACCACCCGCCTGTCCCCACAGCTGCCACAGCTGAGGATTCTGTCCCCTTGAGACCTGCATAGCGGTGTGGGGCTGTAATCCCAGCACTCGGGAGGCTGAGGCAGGAGGATCACAAAGCCAGCCTGGGCTACATAGTGAGACCCTGCCTTAAAAAACCAGACGACCCTGGCAGGGCAAATCCCTCGCAGTTGGGGGGCCTCCTTCGGGCCCCTTGGGGAAGCGTGCCCTAGCGTGTGCTTGCTGCCCCTCCCCTGGCCTATTGATCAGCCCACCCCCTCCGGTACCTTCGGACTTGGAACAGCTCCAGGCGCAGAGCTATGAGTCAGCCCTTGAACAACAGAGTCACGAGGCCTCAGGAGCTCCTGCCAAGGCGAGCAGGGTGTGGCTGGAGGCCAAGCTGCCACCTTCCCACCAGTCTCAGCTTTTGGTTTCTTTCCGGTCTTTGCCTGCAATCACAGAGCTCTGTCTCACAAACCCCGGGGGTCTCATCCACCCTGGAAAATGACATTTAATTTTTATTTCCCAGTTACACGTGAATTCATTTCATTCTCCTTGGAAAAATAATGGAGGTTAAAGTTTATTTATGTACCATCATACTTCAGGGTTGTTTTTTTTTTGAGACTAGGTCTTGCTACGTAGCCCAGGCTGGCCTCCACCTCTTGCAGGGATCCTCCTGCCTCCCCCTCCCTAGTGCTGGGATTACAGGTGTGCACCACCCAGCCCAGCTCACATTTTAAGTGTAATGTTTAAATCATATAATACTCATAACTTAGGAGAATGTAGTAATTTCCTAATGGCAGAATGTTTTCTCAGTAGTTTCTTTTTTCTTGAAAGCTTTAAAGGTGGAAGAAAATTCAAATACCCCCTCCCCCATGTGTAGAACTGGGATGTTTCTAGAAGAGGCTATAAGGAAAAGTAACTCGGAAAATAAGAGCCTTAGGAGATCTGTCGTTGTAAACTTTATGTCTATTTTGGCCAGGTATGGTGGCCCACGTCTGTAGTACCAGCACTTGGGAGGCCGAGGCAGGAGGATCACTGTGAGTTGGAGGCCAGCCTGGGCTACATAGCGAGACCCTGTTTCCAAAAACAAACCAAAAACAAACCCCCAAAATATATCTTTCCAGAAATATGCAGGTCTGAGATTCAATTCTTGTGTTTTAAAGTCTCAGCTCTTGTATTTCAAAAAAACAGAAGATTTCGAATGTTTCCCCATACAGAAATGCTATTTGAGAAGGCAAGATTAACACGATTCAAAGGTTGCACAACACACAATAAAATATGACGTGGTTCCCTACAAACGTGGCCAATTTGTATGTTTTTATGTCTCAGTTAAAAATAAATTTCCCTATGATGAGTGTTAATTATGTATGCCTAAAATGCACCAATAAATGTTTTGCTATAAAAAATAAATAAAATACAATATTTTTCCCAAAAGAAATATAAATAAACTTAAATTCTGACCTGGGCATAACTCAGGGATAGAGATCGCAATTTAAATTTTTTTAAAATCTAAGGCTTAAAGGGCTTCAATTTCTGAGCTAAAGATCAAGAGGACTTTAACTTCAAGGTCTCCTGGTTGACAACCAAGTGTGACCCTCTGTGGGTCAGGCCTGGGGACACCAGGAAGACGGAAGAAAGGCCTAGAAAGATCCAGCCTCAGCCTTCCTCTGGCTCGCACGATTTCTGAACGCCGAAATAATTTTCCTCATTTCTTTTCCAACTTGAGCCTCAACAACCGCTCCTTCCTCCCGGAGCTGTCTTCCCTTCCTATCTGGGGGTCGCCACTGCTCCTGGGGACAGGGCTAGGGTCGCCAAGGCCGCCTGGCCGTCCTGCCCAGCCTCAGATTTGCGCAGTCATCCTCCTCGTCAACCTGCCCGTGCGGTGGGGGCTGGGCCGGCAGAGGTCAGGGCGGGCGAGGGGACTTGGCATGGCCAAATCACCGCCGCTGTCCTCCAAGTGACCTCTAAGGCAGACCCCGCAGGCTGTGGCGGGGCCAGGAGTAATGGGGACCCCATCCCGGTCTACGGGGGGACAGGGCAGGTGCCCACGAGGGGACGGAGATGCTGACCCGCAGGACGCGCTCGCTCCTCCGAGGCGCCGTCCGTCCACCCGGGAGAGGTGTCTCGTGGCCGGTGGGGATGCTGAGGCCGAGGACGGGGGCGCGGGGCAGGCTGAGGTCCCGGTCCCACTCCGTTCCGGCCGTTGTAATCCGGGCCGGGCCTTCGCTGCTGCCGGAGCAGCAGCCCCTCCCCAAGGCGGGCGAGTTCCGGCTGCGGAGCCGCAGTGCGCGGCGGCCGCGCTGATCCCTCCGCCGGGCCCGTTTGAAGCCCTGCATCCGGGTCTTCATGGCAGAACATTCCAGAGATCCGCGTGACTCCGCTCACTCCGCTTCCTTCCAGGGGGCGGAACGCGCTAGAAAAGTAGTCCCCTTCTCGGCGTTTCTGCGGAGGGATCTCTCCGGGGCGGTCGGAGACTATATAAGGTGGCGCCGGGCGGGGCGCGTGTAGTTTCGCCGAGGTTGCAGTTTTGTCTCTCATCTCTAGCGTGCGCCGCCGCCGCCTTCGACAGTTGGTGAGGAGAGGGCCGCTGGGTGGGCCGGGGCTTTACGGGCCGGCTAGCCATGAGGGTGATGTGGGAGGGAGGCCGAAGCTTGCGAGGCTCTTGTCGCCCCGGGGGTCGCCGCCCGCTGCGGCCGTGAGGGGAGAAGCGCCGCAAAATGGCGGCCGCCGCTGATTCGTGGCGGAGCAGCCGGGCTGTGGTGAAGCAGGCCGCGAGTTGGGAGGAGCCAGGCCGAGGGGAAAGCGGAAGAGACCCGAGGCTGTAACTGAGCCGCGGGTGGCAGATTTATTTTGGACGTGATTGGATGTCGCTGAGACTGACCAGTAGCGTTGCGGTTTCGGGGTCTGTTAGCCATTTGTTAAGCCGGTAGTAAAGGGCCCGGCGCGTTGGCGCGGGATTGCAAAACCAGTGCTCGGAGGCTGAGGAAGAACGAGGGCGAGTTGGAAGCCAGCTTCGGCAGTGTAGCAGGGGCCTCCGGAGATAAAAAGGGAGTTGGCTGCTAATTATAGAGAGGCCGCCCAACCTCAGGTGGGGGGAGCGCGCTCACGTCCGGTCACGTGACGGCTTGCTTGGTGACGTCACCGGTTCTCTTGGCTCACAACGGGATGAATGCTGCAGGACGCAGGGTTTGGTTGGTCCTGGGGTGGATTCTGCTGAATTCACTGGAACCTGGCTTCTGAAGAGAAGGACGTGAAGCAAGGCTCCCGAGTTTACTTGGGTCAGGTTTCTCATACTTTTTTTTTTTTTTTTTCTTTAATACTGGGGATCGAACTCGGGACCTCGCACTTTGGAGGCAGGCGGTGGAACCACTGAGCTAAATCCCCACCCCTTCCCATGCTTACTATGTTGAAGTGCAACTTTTCTATAAATTCTTATGTTGTTGTATTTATTTTATGAAGTTTTTTGTAGCTTGGTCACCTGTATTCATTTCTTCAAGGTTTTGAGGCAAAATTTTCAATTTAATCGTGTGGGTCAATGTAAAATGATAATTTAACATTAAGAATTTTAGTGAAAGGCTGGGGATTTAGCTCAGTGGTTCTGCCGCCTGCCTCACAAGCAGAAGGACCCGAGTTCAATCCCTGGTACGAAAAAAAAAGAAAAGGAATTCTAGTGAATTGTCTGCCAACGTTTTGAGTCTTTTTGTGTGTATTTTGTTTTTTCTTTAGAGACAATGCAAATCTTCGTGAAGACCCTCACTGGCAAGACCATCACCCTCGAGGTGGAACCCAGTGACACCATTGAGAACGTCAAGGCCAAGATCCAAGACAAGGA